GATGGCAAACTGGCATGTGTCTTACCAGAGGGCTGAGAACTTCCCCTATTGGTACCAATAACCCTTCTGTCTTTTCACCCATAGTGTTGTGGCTGCAGGAACTGCACCAGAGTCACGTGATCGGTGTGTTGGCCTACTGAATGTGCGTTGAACTTCCCATCAGTATGACTACAAGATTCCCATGGAAAATCACACCAATGATGACTACCAACCAGACATATGCAGCTAATAGTTAAAAGGACAGAACTACAAGCCTTAAGGCATTGAACAGACAACAGGTTATATAAATGTAATGGTCATTTATCCTTGCTAAGGGAACATCGTGGAATAGATTGTATGGCGAGGGACCCTGAAGGGGTGGATTGTTGGGAAAATAGAATAGCTTGGTCAGGCCCCCTCACCTCAGGTCTGGTTGGGTGTGGTGCAGCACATTCTTTGTAAACAAATTGTGTGTGTGGAGCAGCAGTTCAGGGCCGGCAGAGAGCTCACGTCTAAAAAGAGCATGTTTACTTTACTGGCAGCTGCTCAGTTTTTCTTTGGACTTTGCTGGTAGCAGTTGAGTTTCTGAGTTTCTCTTTGGACTGCCTAGCTCCTAGACATACGTGTGTGCGTGCGCAGAAATAAAGACTAATCTTTCTTCAACCAAGGCTCCAAGGACCTTTCTTCCAGTTATCTAGGTCGTAGACCTGCATATGAAGGGATTGTGACCCAGTCTGGCCAATGGGCTTGAGGGGTCTGTGAGCTCCAGACCCAGCCATAGCTCTATGGGGGAAGGGGATGTTTTTAGCCAATCTCAGGCCACACAGTCCCTTATTACCTGGACTGCCAAGGAGTAATAACACCATCATCAGGGCCTCCAATCAGCACCAGGCGGCCCACACGAAGAAAATTCTTCCGCCAAGCTACAGGGTGGGAAGAAGAGAGCTTGAGTCAGCTGCTTAAGTCAGGCCAGGTTGCAGAGAGGAACACAGGGGGTCAGGGAAGCAGAAAAGGGGACCCAGGTTGGAACCTGGCATCTTACCAGTGGCATTGGGATGGTCTCTTTCCCCATTAATCAGAGCCAGGAAGCTGCTGGCATTGAGGTACAAGTCATCATGATGGGGGTCTGGGTACAAACATCAGTTAGAAAGATAGAGAAGCAGGGAGGAGAGGCAAGACCAGAGGTTGGAAGACCTATCAGGAGGCTACAGTAATAGTCAAGGTAGATAGCAATATAATAGCAATAGCAGGGAAGAACCTCGATCCGCTGTTTTTTTAATATTTTAATTGACTTTTTTGCTTTTCTAAAGAAGCAAAGTGGGAAATGTGCTAGGAGCTCTCCTGTCAACACACAAGTGTTGGTTCCTGGAGTAGGGACCCACCCTGCCTATGGGCTCTTTGTAATTCCAAGTCAGGAAACTTTTCCATAAATTAGTCTATTGAAATTCAGAGGCAGGGCTGGCAGGTTATCTCAGTTGGTTAGTGTGGTGTTATTACCAAGATCAAGGGTTCTGATACCCAAACTGGCCACCCACCAAAAAAAGAAAAAGGGGGCCGGCCCGTGGCTCACTCGGGAGAGTGTGGTGCTGATAACACCAAGGCCTCGGGTTCGGATCCCATATAGGGATGGCCGGTTTGCTCGCTGGGTTAGCGTGGTGCTGACAACACCAAGTCAAGGGTTAAGATCCCCTTACCGGTCATCTTTAAAAAAGAAAAAAGAAAAAGGAATTCAGAGGGGGTCAGAATGATCGACCCATCCTTTAATGCTGAAAATAAATGTCTCAGCCAAAAAAACCAAAAAGCAAACCAAGGTCCAGGGTTGATCCCTGTAGTGACCAGCTGCCTAAAGGAATAATAATAATAATAATAATAATTGTAAACATGACAGCAAACACTTTTATCTAGCACCTACTATGAGCCAAGTATTGTTCAAAGTAGTGCCTTACATTCATTAATTTATTTAATCCTCGCAACCACCCTGTGAGGTATATGCTATGTTGTTATTTTACAGATAAGAAAACTGAGTCAAAGAAAGGTTAAGTAACTTGCCCAAAGTCACCCAGCACCACCAGGCCTCAAACTCTAGCCCCAGCATCCACAACCTTAAACACTACGCTAGGGGTTGGCAAACTACAACCAATGGACCAAATCCAGCCTGCCACTTGTTTTTGCAAACAAAGTTTTACTGGAACACAGAAACATTCATTTACATATGGTCTATGACTGCCTTCACACTACAACAGCAGAACTGAGTAGTTATGACAGAGACTATATGGCCTACAAAGCCAAAAATACTTATTATCTGGCCCTTTACAGAAAAGATTTGCCAACCCCCGTATCAGACTATACTCTCTTAGGCAACAGGGTACTACACACAAAGTACTTTAAACCTGTTTAAATAGTAAGTGCTCAATAAACATGTTATCATTATTGTCATCATTGCTGTTGGTTATGGTAGAGGTGGAAAACAGCAAGCCCTACCCTCCACAGTACCCTCTCCACAGAGGCCCCAGTTCAACATCCCCCACTCACCGTGCCAGTAGTTGCAGATGGAGAATTCCTGGCCCCAGGGGCTATAGCAGATCCGATACAGGTTAGACCTCATGGAGGTGGGAAACAGCCACTTCAAATAGTCTGTGTCTGGCAAAAGAACGGCAGTGCCAAGTGGCCACAAACCTCTGTGCCCCCAAAACTCAGGGCCTTCTATGGAGCCCAGAGTGCCCACTCACCTCCATACTGTCCCATCTGTGGAGAGGAGAGGGAAATGAAAGAATCCACATTGTGATCATCCATGACAGAGAGCAGTGCCCGGCACACGAGACCCCCTGTAGGCAAAACACCACATTGGGCAGGGCCTTAAGGACAGCCAGGCCAACAGCCCCCCACCACACTGTACATAAAAGATACTGAGGCTTAGAGAAGGCAGGCACACCCTGTGCCAAAAGTCACACATTATACATAATGTAAGTGACAAAGCAAGAATTAGATTCTGGGCCTCATGACTCTTAACTCCAGGATGCTTTTAACTGCCCCATTAGCCCATAAGTCAAAGAACCATGGGGGAAAGAAGGGACAACAGTGCAGGGAGCCCCCCCCACATTCAAGACCCAGAGAAAAGACCCAGGTGCTGAAGGAAGTCAGAAGGAAGGGCTCAGGTATCAGAGCTTCAGCTGGAGCAATGTGGTTCAGAAAAGGGGACACTAGGGAGCATCTCTCAGGTAAGGATCAAGCCTCAGGGCTTAGGAGTTGGGGAGGGGAGTCACCTACCCTGCGAGTAGCAGACGAGATGTACCCCTTGCGGGGCCTTTGCCATGATGGGGACCACAGCCTCTCGGAACCCTTGCACCTGTTCCCACAGGGGCCGTAAACTCTCTCTCCCATCGAAGAGATCGAGCACTGTCACCACAGTCCCGGGGTGTGTCTGTGGGAAGGGGGCAATGCAGCCACCAGGGATGGGCTATAAAGCCCGCACACACCACCCCCTGACCAGCGTCCACATGCCTATCGTGCCCTGCTAGAATCAGGGATCCCTTCCCCCAACTTTCCCCATGCCAGCACCAGCTCCCTGAGGAGCTGGGCAGGCCCAGAGGGGTGGCATTAAGTTCCTCGATCTCCCTCCCCAGCCACTGTAAACAACTCCAATGCCCTCCACCCGGGTGTCCCCTGCCAGACCTCGTTGATGTATTCCAGCAGGTGGCGGAAGCTGTACGAACTGTCGAAGAGCCCGTGCACCACGATGACCGGCTTGTAGGAAGAGCGGTGCGGCGCGGGGACCGCGGGCAGCAGCAGCGGCAGGAACGGTAGCAGGAGCAGGACCCACACCGAGGGGAGCCGCTGCCCCCAGAGCCTCAGCATGCTCCCGCCTGAGAAGCGGGCGATGAGGGCCTGTGAGAGAGATGACACCCCTTCCCCTCGGAACAGACGCCCGGCATCAAGCCTCCTCCTCCCGCATCATGTCCTTGTCACAAAATAGCCTACTTTCAACTTACTCCAGTCCTCTCCCAACAAACACACCCCCCTCCCACGTTGACGCACCAACGCGCAACCTAAGTCCCGCCCCAAACTCAGAGCTCCGGGACTTGGTCTCTAGGCCCAGGATCTTCCGAAAGCATCAATCACCCCAGCCAGGCACAACCCAGAGTTTTGCAAGACCCCTGAGCAGCAGCCCAGGCCCCCTGGAGAGTGCAAGCTCCCACCTGGCCTGGGTCCGTAGGCCTCCTCCACCCGCTGTTTACTTCTCCCAAGTCTGGAACCCAAGGGGGAGGGGAAGGGTGTAAAAGAGCGCGCCGGGGAAGGACGGATCGCGAGGGGCGGGAGGAGGGCTGCTCGGGGTCGCGGAAAGCCGTCACGTCCGGGGCTTTCCCTAGCAACGGTGCGAGCGTCCCCCGCAACGCAGGCCTGAGACCGGAGGGGCAACGGAACATTCCATTGCGCCCCAGGAGATGGGGAGGGAATAGGCGGAGCGATCCATTTAGGCCGGTGGGGGAGAGAGAGAGGGAGCAAACATACCTGGGGATTGAAAGAAGGCCTCTCCCGGTCCCCCTGCTCCCAGCGACCCTAGGCTCCGATTTCCCCGCCTTCAACCGCCCCTCTTCCCAGTGGAGGCGTGAGGCTCCGAAGCAGAACAAGAAGTTCTCCGTCTCCAAGGGGCGGGGGAGGGGGGGAATAGACTGGGGAAAGGTAGTCCCCATTTTGTGGTTCGCGGGGTTGGCCTGGTAGGCTGGAGCGAGCCCGGGCGTAACCATCAAACCCAGCCCGCCCGCCTTCCCCAGGCCGGCACCTTACAACTCTTCATTCTGAAGTGCGTGTAGTGCCCTTGTCTGCAGAGACGCGGAGAGTCCTTGAGGCCCCTCGAGTGAAGAGCAGCCTGGCCCAGTTTCTCCTGCCCTACTCTGCTCCCCTCCCCATAAATGACCCACCCCACAAGGGGCGGAGGGCCTCTGGGGCTGTGCTGATTCCTGCCCGCGTCATTCTAACCAATCTCATCCTGAGCGACCCCCAAAATCCGACCCTCAGAGCTCCTGTCCCAGACCTTCCACCCCATCCAGACTCCGGAAGTCCAGGTGCCCGCACCTCTGCGCCTGTGACCCCTACTCGATACCCTGGGGCCCAGTTAGGGATTTTACTTGTTAGGACTTTTAGCATTTAAAGACGTTTCCCTTGAGAAAAGGATCTATCAGCGTGAGACCCTCCCTCTGTTCACAAGGTCTTTGCTCAGTCTAAACTCATCTCTCTCACTGAAATCAATTAATTCGCGCTCGGAATTGTGTAGAGTGAGGATGGAGTAGGAGTAAGGGGTTAGGGGTTCTCGAGAACGCCTGAGAAACCAGCATGACCAGTATGAGGTCGTGATCTAAATTTTTGGGGCCTGAGACTGGTTCAAGCGAGGGCCTCCGAAGTCTCCGCTCGGACACGGACAGGGAGAAACAGCCCCAAGACAGACTGCCTCAGGCGAGGTCTGGGAAGTACTAGTCTAAAGATGGGGAGGAGGAAGGGGAGTGGAGGGCGGATATAACAACGATCCTCTGGCTGTGTTTTTGCAATACGCCCAAGTGGTGTAAATCTCGGTGCGCCGCCTATCTCACCCCCCTCCCCACCCACGCGCTCCCAAGATGCAGTTAGCAAATAAAAAGATGGCAATAACGCTGGCCTCGGCCGACGCAGGAGGTGGAGCTGCGTCTTGGCGGGGGTGGTGGTCGGAGTAGGGGGATTTAGGGAATGAGTCTGAACACTGACTGGCCCAGGAACTCTAAGCAACCCAACAAGCAAAGGGGAGAAGGGGAACAAGCACACATTCCCAAACCGAGATGCCAGAAATGAGCAGTTAAGTCATCTCCTCCTTCTCCCAAAGCGCTTCAGTTCCTTAACCGTTGAGGAAGAAGGTATCTATGCATCTTCCCAAACTCTCTCTGTTCCTCTTCCCCCTGCATTATAAATTCCCTGAATTATAAGGCTCAGCTACCCCTGAATTATAAATCTGAGCCTCCCACTTTACTGCCAAGGTGGCTGATCCACCGTACCCTGGAAACTTTTCAGACCATCGCAATTCTCAACTCTGCACAATTCTCTCTGACACAGTAATCTCTTCTGAAGAGGAGGAACGAGGGCTAAGAATCTGGGAGAAGATCTTGGCAGCTTGCAGGGAGCTCTGAGCGAAGCTGAGGAGGGGAAGACCGGCCTGGGTGAACCCGTCTGGAGAGAACTGGGGTACTGAGTCCACAGAGAACCTGCTCTATTCCTCCCACAGTATAATCACTACAGCGAGTCTACAGAGTTCTCTCTCCCTCCTTCTTTCCCTTAGTCCCAACCCCCTCGCCTGGTCTTGCCTCCTTGTTTCCATGACAACTCCAAGGGAGCCCAAACTAGGGGCTTGAATGCCGGGGTGAGAGGAGGAAGGAGGTGGTCCGAGAGCGGAAAGAGACCTAGTGGGGGGACGTCTGAAGCGTTCCCCCTCCCTCACCTCGGTCCCTTTAAGCTCCCCCCCCCACCCCCCGCTCTCCCTCC